CCTCTCCCTGCTGTGGCCTCTCCCGTTGCAGAGCACAGGCTCCGGACGCGCAGGCTCAGCGGCCATGGCTCACGGGCCCAGCCGCTCCGCGGCATGTGGGATCTTCCCGGAACGGGACACGAAGCCGTGTCCGCTGCATCGGCAGGCGGACTCTCAACCACTGCGCCACCAGGGAAGCCCAAAGTATCACTCTTGACTCTTGAGAGCAGGAAAGTTTTTTCCTTTGCTTAGTAAGGAAATTTCACACACATCTAGCCTATCTTCAAAATATTTAAGGGAGAAATAGTACTACACAAACTCTTATTGAAAACAGAAGAGAAGGAATTCACCAGTAAAGCCATCTGGGGCTACAGCTTTCTTTGTTGATCTTTTTTTTTTTTCCCCCTTAAAATTTATTTATTTATTTATTTTTGGCTGCGTTGGGTCTTCGTTGCTGCGAGTGGTCTTTCTCTCTAGTTGTGGCGAGCGGGGGCTACTCTTTGTTGCGGTGCACGGGCTTCTCATTGCGGTGGCTTCTTTTGTTGCAGAGTACGGGCTCTAGGCGCACGGGCTTCAGTAGTTGTGGCTCACGGGCTCTAGAGCGCAGGCTCAGTAGTTGTGGCGCACGGGCTTCGTTGCTCCGCGGCATGTGGCATGTTCCCGGACCAGGGCATGAACCTGTCCCCTGTGTTGGCAGGCCGATTCTTAACCACTGCGCCACCTGGGAAGTCCCAGGGAAGTCCCTGTTGATAGCTTTTTAAGCTACAAATTCTGTTTCTTTAATACTTAAAATACCTATTCAGGTTATCTATTTTTACCTGAATGAATTTTGGTAGTTTGTGTCTATCAAAGAATTTGTCCATTTCATCGGTGTTCTTGATTTCAAGAGCATAAAGTTTTTTATACTGTTCCCTTATTACCCTTTTAATGTCTGTAGAATCTCTAGTGATGTCCCCTCTTTTATTCCTTTTTTTTTGTTCTCTTTTGCCTTGGTCTGCCTAGAAGCTTTTCAGTTTTATTGACCTTTTCAAACAACTCTTGTTTCAATGATTTCATTTTCTTTTGTTTTCCTGCTAATTTAATTTCTGTTCTTTATTTCCCTTTACCCAAGTTTATTTACTCTTTTTTTTTTTTTTCTAGTTTCTTAAAGTAAATGCTTAGACCATTACTTTGAGGTCTTTTTCTCTTCTAATATAAGCATTTGATGCTGTAACTTTATCTTTAAGCACTGCTATAGCCACATCCCCAAACTTTTGATACGTTGTGCTTTTATTTCCATTCAATTCAGAATGTTTTTCATTAATTATGGAAAATTCTTGGTCATTTTCTCTTAATATATTGTCTCTCCTTTGCTGTCTTTATGGCTGTCTAGCTGACACAGTTTGAACCATTCCTTTTTTATCCCTGTGCTTCTTAACCTCTTTTTTATAATGGCAATCTCATTGTTCTTTAAAACTCTGGTTAATTTTCTCAGTTCTGTCTTTAAGTTTTTCAACCTTGCCTAAATTCATCTATTAATAGTTTAATTTTAATGACTATATCTGAAAAGTCTAGTAATTAAAAAAAAATCTGTCCTTTTTCACATTAAACAGAATTTTGTACTCTATTTTGTGAAAAAAATTCATGGTATTGTCCTTCTATTTGTGTATCTGCTGACTCTTACTTCAAGTAGATTGTCTGCCTTGTTTGTAAATTTTGATTGGAACATAACTTTTTGAGGCTTTTTCTACCCCTTGTGAGAATCATCCCCCCTCCCACCCACCCACCCACGCCACTATAATCGTTGTGACCTGGATTGTGGAAGCTTCCCACCAGAGAGGTCTTTAAATATGTTTCAAGACTATTCATGAGCATTTTTATATCTGCTTTAGTCTGTGTTAGATAACTTCAACATTATCTCTGTCATCTCAGCACTGATGTTCGTTCTTGTCTTCACCTGGTTTTTCATACGGTGAAGCGATTTTGGATTGTATCCTGGACATTTTTAATATGATTTTATGAGACTCTGGGTCTTGTTTAAATCTGCCAATTCGTTGGTACTTCAAATTCTTGTCTACACTAATGTGCCTGTCCCTGTTTACTTTTCAGAATCCTCAAATAGCCACTTCATGCATTCTGTCCAGGTTTTATAGCTGCATTCAGTGGGAAAGATGGGGTGGAATGTGCTTGCTTCATCTTACCTAGAACCTTCCCTCTAGAGGAATAAATTGCTTTATTCGGATAAAGCAATTTTAAATTGCTTTATTCGGATCACACTAGCTCCTGACCAGTTTTTATGTTACTTTCCTAAGATTTGAACCTCAACCTTAATCCCAAACTTAAATTATGCACACAGGCCTTAGTTTGAATTCTGAGGTGAGCTGAGCCCAGAAACAAGACAAAATTCCCTGCTGTCTTCCTGTGACAGTAGACAGAATTATTTAGTTTATTCTTTCAGTAAGAGTTTTAGCTTTGTGCAGGGAGTGCAGTTTTAGTCTCACTTTCAACTCCCTTTTATATGGTGGATCCAGAGGTTTTTTTCCTATATCCCCAACAGAGTATTAAAGACTATCGCATCAAGCTCTCCGGGGCAACTGCATCTACCCCACTAGTTTTCCTTATCTTTTTGTCTCTATACCTATGGATTTCCATTCGTTCTTTTAAATATAGCTGTTCATTAAAATTTTTAAGTTTATATTTTATCTAGCATTTATAAGGGTTTGTAGCAGAAAGATTTTCAGATTTTCTTGATCACTGTCTTGTTGAAACAGAAGTACTTTCTGTACTATAAAAATTCTATAGAACTTTTCTTTTAAAAACCTACTCGTATGCAAAAAACAAAATTGGAGGCCCAAATGGGATAGTAACTCATTTATTGCTAAAATTACTGGAATTTTTTTATACATACAGGTAGATATAAGTGTAAATATGTATTTGTATTTATGAGTGTTTATATATGTTTTAGGCTAGAAACTGTCGAATCAGGATTAAAAGAGCTGTTATCTCTTATGACTCTTTAGGGGGGAAAAAAACCTATGTTTGCCTTGGAAAAAGTGTTCTCAGTATAATGAAATTAATACCAGCTTCAAATTATAACTTTTCAGGTACTGTGGAAAGGGCAGTTTTAAGTTTTGAGGATGAAAATAAATACTGCTCTAAATAAGTAAAGAGAACTTAGGTTTGTGTGGTTACTTTTTTCTTTGTTTTGTTTGCTTGATATCTTCTGTTTTCTTGGCATTCAGTGTAAAATTCACTAGGAATCTCAATTTATGATAGGGAGATTGCCTTTTTCTTGCAGTGGTTACTTGTCAGAAACACGTTCTCTGCTTCTTTCCTGCCAGGAATGAGTAGCGACAGTGATATTGAATGTGACGCTGAGGACGAGGAGCAGGAGGAGCGCGCCAGCCTGGGCAGATTTAGCGACTCCTTCATGGCACGGCTGCCAGATGAAGGTGCAACCCATGACGTCATCTCACGGGGATTAATAAAACCATCTCTTCTGCTGCTGCTTCCTTTGCTTCTCTTTCTGCTTCTGCTTCTTCTGCTTTGCTGCTTCTGCTGCTTTTTCTTTTTTAAATTATTGTCATTTGTGAGACGACATTCTGTGGGTTAAACTAAATGGTGCGCATACTGAAAAAATTTGGTAGGCGGTCAGACACCACCTAATGCGTGCTACTTACTGGGTGGAGCAAGTGTTGGCAACCTGCTTTGGTACAGCCCATGACCTGAGAATGAAAAAAAAAAAAAAACAAGCCAAACAAAAACGAATTTTCCACGGAGAACATTTGTGGCCTGTAGTGCCTAAATATTTACTATCTGCTCCTTTATAGAAAATGTTGCCAGCCCCTGGGGAGGTTTCAGATTTTTTTTCTTTTCTTTTCAGAGATATTTGTAGCCTAGCTAATAAGGGAACTTCTGTAAAGGTAACTCTTTCTGACTTCTTAGAAATGCGTGCTGATTATGGAATCATTGATTTTATTACCACTTCCCCCTAAAAAAGTCTTAGGAAAAAACTCAACTGAGAGAAACCCATTGTTAGTAGTTTTGTTTTGTTTTATTTTAGGTGTACAGCATAATGATTTGATATATGTATACACTGCAAAATGATCACCACAATAAGTTTAACATCCATCACCCATTGTTAATATTTTATCCAGAGACCTTAACGATCAATCTGAGCATTCCTCTATAAGAGTTCCTGGAATAACAACATTGTCAGGCTTATGTTAATTGTCAGCTTTATATTTTACATATTTCTCTGATATTCTAGTGTCTTTTTTAGTACAGACTCAGTCATTTGATGATTTTTTAAGTATTAAGGTACTCTTAGCAATCTTCTGCTTATAAAAGAAGCAGCCAAATTTCAGGCAAGTTATTTTAAGTGCTGATGAGTTTTTGTAGTGATATTTGCATGCGCAGTTTAATTGGCTTTGAAATACATTTTATATTTACAAAATCAGTCTTTAGAGTGTACATCGTCATCGTTTCCTATTCCCTTCTTTAGCTGCTCCCATAGCGTCCCCAGGATGACAAAGTCAGGCAATGCCTTTCATCTTCTAATTGTGGGCATCTATTACACATTTTGGTTTTTTCTCCTTTATTTTCCCTTTGTGTTTGTTACACTTGACTCAGATCAAAAATTCTCTAAAAACAGAGATTTGTTCACAACCCATTACATTTTTATCATTTAAATAACACACTTGGTAAGATCGTTTAGAGATAAGGAAAAGAAAATACTTGTCTTTTCAAAATGTTAACTCTTTTTTTTTTCTCCTAGATACACATTCCAGTTTTCCTGATGGTGAACAAATAGGCCCTGAAGATCTCAGCTTCAATACTGATGAAAACAGTGGAAGGTAATTTTCAAATCAAGAAAACTGACTTGCAAGCTACCTTGAATTTTGCTGTAGTTGGTGCTCAAATTTGTCAACAGTCAGATTAATCAGATTTGGTCTTATTTTTTTCATCATCTCTACTTGAAATAGTAATTCTGAAACTTTAGAAAGTAGCACAATTCTAGTGTAAGACATTAGTACACAGGAAAAAGTTGTGTGGGAAGAATCCTGTGTAATGTAATGAAATAACAGTGTAGCCTCAATTAATTTAGTAAATAGTATATTCATAAAAGGCAGTTTGTCTGCTGTAACAGGAGGGCAATTAACTGCCAGGAAACGTACCTGGAGACAGTGCATGCACTCAGTAACCTGCTCAGCATCGGTGCTCTTCTGTCTTGGCTAGACACTCAGTTGTGTTTAAATGACCACCTTTATATTTTGGGTTTTAATTATAGTTTATAGTTTCACTAGTGCCTGTAGATTAGTGAGCAGAAATATTACTAATGTGTAGATTCTTCCCTGTAGACACTTTATGTGAATAACTGAAGTAACACTAGACTGAATCTCCTCTTCGGAATATGTTGACTGACTGAGGTTAATTTATTTATCTTTTCTTGTTTGTTCAAGTGCAGGCACACTAATTAATGACACCTAAGCTTTCGTTTGTGTGACCTTTACAAATGTAATTTTAAATGAATTAAGTTAATATGGATTGGTTATGTTTCTGGTCGTATGAACACATGTAAGAACAATTTAAAATTATTTCGTTTTTTCTGCTTCTTACTAAACTATTATAATGTAACGGGTATTTTAAAACCCTGTTTTCTCCTTTATTTTCATTAGTTGGACATTGATTTCAGTGTCAATACATTTAAAGATTCCTATATATTGTACTGTGGCTTACATGAAACTGTGGTATAAAGTTTAGTTTCATACTCAGAATTAGTCCAAAATAATTGCCAAACTTTATCATTGTGCTCTTGCATTTGTTTTTGAGCTGCTATGCTATTTGTGAAAATTACACTGAAAGTTGACTAAGAGACTTTTGTAAAAGCATGAACATATACACGTGAGAGGCATCTCATCTGCTTATTTTTTACTTAATGAATATTGTTCCCCTTTCCATGTCTAGTGTCTTGCCGAATGCTGTGTGATTCATGGTTTGCTTTTCTTCAAAACAGTTGGCACTTTTTGTTAATAAAATGATGCTGAGAAAATGTTACGCCTCTGCAATTTATTAAAAGTGGAACAGGAAGCCCCCCTTTTTCCTATTCCTATTGCCTGTGTATAATAGAGGCTGTTGAGCTGTAAGTAGATGCATGGGGAAGTTAGAAGACTTATTTATAATCTCCATAATGTGTATGGTTGCTTTTTCTCCTTAAATTAGTTGGAAATATTTAAGTAGTATAATCACGAGAAGTTAAAATTTAGCATTTGCTTACTACCATGATAGCATTGGCGTGCTCTCGTATAGTTATTAGGTCACTTATTGTGCAATGCTCTGAAACATTACTAATAAGTTCTTCACATTTCATTTTCTATTAGCTGGAAATGTATTTATGTTCATTACATTTTGATGAGATCATATTCTAAATCAAATTATTTCTGTGCTACATTGTAATGGGTAAAACTATAATGTAAGAATTTTGCACCTTTAGTGTTGAGAGCAAATCATTGTAAGAACTGATTTTGTAGAGGTTTATTTTTTAATTGAGGCTTATCAGAATTCATAAAGACAAGTGTGATTGACTCTGCTTTGGAACTCTCACTATTGCGTAGCTGTTTCTTGACCTGTATATGATATAGAACTGAGTGCTTTCCAGTGTACCGTTATAACCTATTTTCAAAATATGGAAAACCACTGTGGTTAAGAACTAAGAGAAGCCAGAGAATAGACTGTTCATTTGGGGAAATTTACTTGTAAGAGCTTTTAGCACAAGTGATTTAATCATGAGGTTCTTTTGGGTCATTAATCTAGACAATAACTTTTTTTTTTGAATTTTATTTTTTTATACAGCAGGTTCTTATTAGTCATCCATTTCATACACATCAGTGTATACATGTCAATCCCAATCTCCCAATTCATCACACCACCACCACCACCACCCCGCCGCTTTCCCCCCTTGGTGTCTGTCCATTTGTTCTCTACATCTGTGTCTCAATTTCTGCCCTGCAAACCAGTTCATCTGTACCATTTTTCTAGGTTCCACATATATGCATTAATATACGATATTTGTTTTTCTCTTTCTGACTTACTTCACTCTGTATGACAGTCTCTAGATCCATCCATGTCTCTACAAATGACCCAATTTCATGCCTTTTTGTGGCTGAGTAATATTCCATTGTGTATGTGTACCACATTGTCTTTATCCATTCGTCTGTCAATGGGCATTTAGGTTGCTTCCACAGCCTAGCTATTATAAATAGTGCTGCAGTGAACATTGGGGTGGGTTCATGTGTCTTTTTGAATTATGGTTTTCTCTGGGTATATGCCCAGTAGTGGGATTGCTGGGTCGTATGGTAGTTCTATTTTTAGTTTTTTAAGGAACCTCCATACTGTTCTCCATAGTGGCTGTATCAATTTACATTCCCACCAACAGTGCAAGAGGTTTCCCTTTTCTCCACACCCTCTCCAGCATTTGTTGTTTGTAGATTTTCTGTTGATGCCCATTCTAACTGGTGTGAGGTGATACCTCATTGAGGTTTTGATTTGCATTTCTCTAATAATTAGTGATGTTGAGCAGCTTTTCATGTGCTTCTTGGCCATCGTTATGTCTTCTTTGGAGAAATGTCTATTTAGGTCTTCTGCCCAGTTTTGGATTGGGTTGTTTATTTTTTTGATATTAAGCCACATGAGCTGCTTGTATATTTTAGAGATTAATCCTTTGTCCATTGCTTCATTTGCAAATATTTTCTCCCATTCTGAGGGTTGTCTTTTCGTCTTGTTTATGGTTTCCTTTGCTGTGCAAAAGCTTTGAAGTTTCATTAGGTCCCATTTGTTTATTTTTGTTTTTATTTACATTTCTCTAGGAGGTGGATCAAAAAAGATCTTGCTGTGATTTATGTCAAAGAGTGTTCTTCCTATGTTTTCCTCTAAGAGTTTTATAGTGTCTGGTCTTACATTTAGGTCTCTAATCCATTTTGAGTTTATTTTTGTATATGGTGTTAGGTAGTGTTCTAATACATGTAGCTGTCCAGTTTTCCCAGCACCACTTACTGAAGAGACTGTCTTTTCTCCATTGTATATCCTTGCTTCCTTTGTCATAGATTAGTTGACCATAGGTGCATGGGTTTATCTCTGGGCTTTCTATCTTGTTCCATTGATCTATGTTTCTGTTTTTGTGCCAGTACCATATTGTCTTGATTACTGTAGCTTGGTAGTATAGTCTGAAGTCAGGGAGTCTGATTCCTCCAGCTCCATTTTTTTTTCCCTCAAGACTGCTTTGGCTGTTTGGGGTCTTTTGTGTCTCCATACAAATTTTAAGATTTTTTGTTCTAGCTCTGTGAAGTATGCCATTGGTAATTTGATAGGGATTCCATTGAATCTGTAGATTGCTTTGGGCAGTATAGTCATTTTCACAATATTGATTCTTCCAGTCTAAGAACATGGTATATCTCTCCATCTGTTGGTATCATCTTTAATTTCTTTCATCAGTATTTTATAGTTTTCTGCATACAGGTCTTTTGTCTCCCTAGGTAGGTTTATTCCTAGGTATTTTATTCTTTTTGTTGCAATGGTAAATGGGAGTGTCTGCTTAATTTTTGTTTCAGATTTTTCATCATTAGTGTATAGGAATGCAAGAGATTTCTGTGCATTAATTTTGTATCCTGCAACTTTACCAAATTCATTGATTAGCTCTAGTAGTTTTCTGTTGGCATCTTTAGGATTCTCTATGTATAGTATCATGTCATCTGCAAATAGTGACAATTTTACTTCTTCTTTTCCAATTTGTATTCCTTTTATTTCTTTTTCTTCTCTGATTGCCATGGCTAGGACTTCCAAAACTTTGTTGAATAATAGTGGTGAGAGTGGACCTCCTTGTCTTGTTCCTGATCTTAGTGGAAATGCTTTCAGTTTTTCACCCTTGAGAATGATGTTTGCTGTGGGTTTGTAGTATATGGCCTTTATTATGTTGAGGTAGGTTCCCTCTATGCCCACTTTCTGGAGAGTTTTTAATCATAAATGGGTGTTGAATTTTGTCAAAAGCTTTTTCTGCATCTATTGAGATGATCATGTGGTTTTTATTCTTCAGTTTGTTAATATAGTGTATCACATTGATTGGTTTACGTATATTGAAGAATCCTTGCATCCCTGGGATAAAACCCACTTGATCATGGTATATGATCCTTTTAATGTGTTGTTGGATTCTGTTTGTTAGTATTTTGTTAAGGATTTTTGCGTCTATATTCATCAGTGATATTAGTCTGTAATTTTCTTTTTTTGTAGTATCTTTGTCTGGTTTTGGTATCAAGGTGATGGTGGCCTCATAGAATGAGTTTGGGAGTGTTCCTTCCTCTGCAATTTTTTGGAAGAGTTTGAGAAGGATGGGTGTTAGCTCTTCTCTAAATGTTCGATAGAATTCACCAGTGAAGCCATCTGGTCCTAGACTTTTGTTTGTTGGAAGATTTTTAATCACAGTTTCAATTTCATTACTTGTGATTGGTCTGTTTCTATTTTCTATTTTTTCCTGGTTCAGTCTCAGAAGGTTGTGCATTCCTAAGAATTTGTCCATTTCTTCCAGGTTGTCCATTTTATTGGCATAGAGTTGCTTGTAGTCGTCTCTTAGGATGCTTTGTATTTCTGCGGTGTCTGTTGTAACTTTTCCTTTTTCATATCTAATTTTATTGATTTGAGTCCTCTCCCTCTTTTTCGTGATGAGTCTGGCTAATGATTTATCAATTTTGTTTATCTTCTCAAAGAGCCAGCTTTTAGTTTTACTGATCCTTGATATTGTTTTCTTTGTTTGTATTTCATTTATTTCTGCTCTGATCTTTATGATTTCTATCCTTCTGCTAACTTTGAGTGTTGTTTGTTCTCTTTCTCTAGTTCCTTTAGGTGTAAGGTTAGATTGTTTGAGATTTTTCTTGTTTCTTGAGGTAGGTTTGTATAGCTATAAACTTCCCTCTTAGAACTACTTTTGCCACATCCCATAGGTTTTGGATCGTCATGTTTTCATTGTCTTTTGTCTGTAGGTATTTTTTGATTTCCTCTTTGATTTCTTCAGTGATTTCTTGGTTACTTAGTAACGTATTGTTTAGCCTCCACGTGTTTGAGTTTTTTACGTTATTTTCCCTGTAACTGATTTCTAATCTCATAGCATTGTGATCAGAAAAGATGCTTGATATGATTTCAATTTTCTTAAATTTATTGAGGCTTGATTTGTGACCCAAGATGTGATCTATCCTGGAGAATGTTCCATGCACACTTGAGAAGAAAGTGTAATCTGCAGTTTTGGGATGGAATGTGCTATAAATATCAATTAACTCTATCTGGTCTATTGTGTCATTTAACGCTTGTCTTTCCTTATTAATTTTCTGCTTGGATGATCTGTCCATTGGTGTAAGTGAGGTGTTAAAGTCCCCCACTATTCTTGTGTTACTGTTACTTGTGTCACTATTCTCTTTTATTATTATGTTATTTCCTCTTTTATAGCTGTTAGCAGTTGCCTTATGTATTGAGGTGCTCCTATGTTGGGTGCATATATATTTATAATTGTTATATCATCTTCTTGGATTGATCCCTTGATCATTATGTGGTGTCCTTCCTTGTCTCTTGTAACATTCTTTATTTTAAAGTCTATTTTATCTGATATGAGTATTGCTACTGCAGCTTTCTTTTGATTTCCATTTGCATGGAATATCTTTTCCATCCCCTCACTTTCAGTCTGTACGTGTCCCTAGGTCTGAAGTGGGTCTCTTGTAGACGGCACATATATAGGTCTTGTTTTTGTATCCATTCAGCAAGCCTATGTCTTTTGGTTGAAGCATTTAATCCATTCACATTTAAGATAATAATCGATATGTATGTTCATATTACCATTTTCTTAATTGTTTTGGGTTTGTTTTTGTAGGTCCTTTTCTTCTCTTGTGTTTCCCACTTAGAGAAGTTCCTTTGGTATTTGTTGTAGAGCTGGTTTGGTGGTGCTGAATTCTCTTAGCTTTTGCTTGTCTGTAAAGCTTTTGATTTCTCCATCAAATCTGAATGAGATTCTTGCTG